GTGTACAAAATCTTGTTTAAAATATATGTACATTATGGATGGCTAAAATTGAACCAATTCACTTTTGCATTGCTTCACATGTTTTTCGTGTGTGTGTGTGTGTGTGTGTGTGTGTGTGTGTCTGGTGAGAAGACCATCTTTTTTGAAGTTCAGTTTTAGTTCTTTATCCAATTTCTCTCTAAACCTTCACTGGCCATGTCTTTGAAGTCTGGGTTTCCACCAATGGTTGATTCAAGGTGATTTATGTTTTCTTTAACATACTCCTCAAAATTATTCTGCTTCCTGCCATTCCCTGGTCTCAAAGCCATGTTCACATTTTAACCTCCTACAGTAGCACCAGACTTCCAGCTACCATGGTCTATTTTAACAGTTGTCATATGGTAACATCACCACAGCCTTAGGCATTTAAAGCACCAGGCGTTTATTTGCTTGTGGTGTCTGTGGGTTTTGTAGTCTGGGCAAAGCTTCAGGTTCTCACAAGGCTGCGGTCAACATGTAGGCCCCATCTGTGATGTCAGTGGGGCTCGGCCGGAGAAGGGCCTGCCTTCAGACCATGTGGCTGTTGGAAGGCTTCAGTTCCTGTGGGATGTCAGACTGAGGGCCTCAGTTTCTTGCTGGCTGGTAGCCGGAGGCTCCCCTCAATTCTTTGATAACGGAGTCCTTGTCATCTTTTTGGTTGCTTCCTCAAAGCCAAGAAGGGAGAAAGTTTTCTTGAAGTAAGGACGTTACAATCTATGTAACATAATGACAGAAGTGACATTGTATCATCTTTCACATATTATGTTGGTTAGAAGCAAGTGACAAGTCCCACTCACATTCAGTAGGAGGAGATTACACAAGGTATGAATTCTAGGAGCTGGGGATCACGGGGAACATGTTAGAGCCTGTCCAATGCATTCTCAAAGAGTCCCAGGGATCAATGGTTTTTATTATGCGATTATTTGTCTTCATCAGTATATTGGCTGAGTCCTGTGGTGAGCCAAAGTGATGTTCTTCACAAGTTACTTATCTTCCTAAATGGGTTGAATTGAATATTATGGTAGACTTTATGTACATGCATTTTCTCTGTTGCCATAAAAATTTCATTATGGAAGTATGGCCCAGTAAAGGGCAGATCATTTGGAGTGAAGCAAGGAGGAAATAGTTCAGAAGAGGCCCTCACTGGTTCAGGTTAACAGAGGTTGCAGTGAACAACTAGCTTGGACCTAACCAGAATGGAACACAAATTATGCAATTTATATTTTATAAGAGAAAGAACAATTTATAGCATGACAGAGTGCTGAGTAGTCCATGTGAAATTGTAAAAGGTCGTTATTTTCATAAGGGACTAGATTTGTGAAAAAAGTGGATAATTTATAGAGAAACAGTGCTGGGTCATTAACTTGCTTTTAAATGCAACATGATAATAAGCAGTCATGGGCAAAATTAAAATCTTGATTATTAATGCATCATGAGATGCATCTGTGAGTTGCAGTGCTTTCACATACTAGAAAACACACAAGACCCAAGAACATTTGGAAAACATTTGAGCTCGTTGTTTGCTAAAAGTCAGCAGCAGCATGTTGGGAACTACAGAAAGGGAAACCAACTTTTGGCCCATTGTGTAGACATTTTATCCACAAATTAATTTAAAAACCCCTTAACCAGCAGAGATACCAAGGTCACTGACTTTCAACCTCATTGTTTTTTGTATAGCTTCATAAGAGGGGCCTCTCTCAGGAGCATGAGTTAGTTGGGGTGGGAGCAGGGAGAGGGTGAGAGGAAATGCTTTCTCACAATTGTGGAGGATCCATGCTTAAGGGCTTCTGAAGACTTTGCCTCTGAGCACTCTTCCAGGGTGAATTCCTTAGTGAAAACCCAGATACAAAGAGCTAGCCTAGCAATTTCTATTTCCCTCTGACCTCTCTTATTGGGGAGGCTGCAATTTCAGAGGGTGATACCCTAACAGATTCTGGTATGGCTTGTTTCATGGACTACGATAGAAGAAAGAAAAAGAAGGCAGGATTGACAACCTTAAAATAGCAGCTCAGTAGATGATTCATTAACACTGGTTGAAAGTTCCATGCTACACGCACAGGTTACCCTGCAGTAGATTTTCACGATAATAACATGCTGAGCATTTTCAGGGATGGCCTGCTGTCAGCAAATGAGAGAAAGGATTTGTGCACTATGGTTTATTTTGCTTTGGGGAAATGGTAGCTCAGTTGCTGTGCTTTTTATTGAAAGTCAAGGGTTTAATAAACATCTTTTGTAAGGTTTTTCTCTTTCTTCCATACCCTTTTTCTTGTTTGTTCTTTAGAAGTGGGGGGGCCTGTTGAAAGCTGAAATTAGAATCGAGTTTTCTAAGAAGTGCATACCTTTTGAATGCTGGTGAATCAGCTTAGAAATGGACATGGCCTACTTGTCATGCTACCCACAGTGAGCTATATACAGATAATTTAACTAAGTGCTGACAGTTCTGATATTCTGAGTTTTCTTGACTTCCTCAAAATATTTTCTCAAAGCAGGTGTCAGTTTCCTCCCGGAATACTCCATGAACCAGCACACATACTAATATTTACTTATTGTAACTTGACACATTTACACATACTTCCTAAGGTCAAATCCTTTTCATCTATAATAGTCTCACTTTTGTCTTGTCTCTCTTATCTAGAGGCCATGCCCTCTTAATTAGAGGGTCCTTCCCATTCCCCTACTACGTATAGGAATGTCCAGTAGCCCTGAGCTCTGAGAGTCGGACACTGGGAGACTACAGTGACCACCTAAGGAGGGAAACCTAGTGTTTCTGTGTTATCTTAAATGCGGAAAAGCTGAGGAAGAGTGATAACTGTCCCGTTCTATAGGCTACTCTCAAATCTGAAAGTTTGGACAAACTAAATGGCTTGCCTGATTGGTTCTTGACTCTCTGGAGGGTCCTTCGCCCCCTACGTATCAACTGTCGCTCCCAGGAAGTAGCAGTGACTTCTGCCTTCCACTTTCGCTTAAGAGGCTGACTTTGGCTCCACTTGTTTTGTTTTGTTTCCGTGCATTCACACAGTTGCCATATTGTACTTTCTCTTTACCAAACCCCATCTGCATCGCTTCTTCCCCTTCTTTTCAACACCATGGTAGTTATCTAGTTTCAAGTATCTCTCATTTGAATGGCTGCAGTCCAGCATCTCTAGTTGCTGTTTGTTCTGTGTGCTCTTCCTGCTGCTAAACTCTCCTGTCTGGGGAGATGCAGACCTCATACTGAAATATGAGAAACTCCTCGAATCGCAGGGGCTCCAGTGCATAGTCAAAACGAGGCACCAACTACTGGAGATGAGTCTGCCACCTAATTCCCATGGAGTTATTTTATCTCTGGAGCTCTGTGTAACTTACCTGATTTCTTATAAAGTTCCAGTTGTCCACTGTATTTGGTAAAGACAGATCATCCCGCTCCCTGTTCCCTTTCTCTGTTCTGTTCATCTCAGTGACCTTTCCTGCTTTATTCTTTCCATTTCTATCTTCCATTATTTTCCAGAACACTGACAGGGGCTCAGTGTGCCCCATCCTGTTGTCACCCCTCAGCTCGGCCTTGCTTTCTACTTTTCACACTGTCCCTGTTTCTAAAGCCCTCACAGTCCCCATGAAATTTTTCTGGTTTGACAGAAAAAGAGTTCCATCTTAACCGCATTGACTGTCAGGAAACTACACTTTCCAGATTTCTTTTCCTGGTGGCTGGCTACCATTTGCCCTCATTTTCAGTTCCAGAAAAGCATTTCCTTCTGCATAAATAACTACAGTGATGCCTCTGGGTATTAAGATAGTTTTGCACATTCTGAGCTGTGTGCATTTCCCTGTGTTCCTCTTAGACTGTGAACACCTGTGACCAGGAAGCCCTCTACAATTCCTGTTGCATAGGCCCTGCAAGATTAAGCCTCTGTTAATATTGATGAAGGTAAAGGTGATTGACTTACGCCAACGATGGGAAACTTTGCCTCTTGTTTCTTAAGGCAGATGGCCTGGCAAGAGAGGAGGACATGAGAAAACGTTGTGCATTCTAGTATTCCCTAGAAGGTAAATATGGGAATTTAGTCTTAGTGGATGGATTATAGAGTTACAGTAGTTCTTTAATCACCGAGTGTGTCTCACTGCATTTGGTGTTGTTCCGAGTCACCTCTTTCTTCCTACAAGTTGTACCCTGTAGACCGCCAGGCTGTTTCCTTCTGTTTCCTTGCTGTTTGTTTGTTTCCCTCACTTCGTTTCATTTCACTTGCAGTACTAAAAATTGAAGAGAAATGTGACTCATGATAGGGATAAAGGAGGCTTTGGATATTTGGCTAAAATTTAGCAAATGAATATGTATGTGGAAGTTTAGAAGTATATTCAAACACTGAAAAATTGAACTAATATTTGTAAAGTTGCATAATAATTCAATTCTTTTTGAATAACAAGTGGTCTTTTATATTGTTTGGCATTATTCTGAGAACCTACAAGTAAATTTAAAAGTAGAATAGCCTAGGCTGTATATAGCATGGGCCTTCATGCTAAACCCATGCCGTAACTTTCTTTAACTTATCTTAATATAACTCTGGGCTTATTTGATTTAAGAACAAGAAAGGAATTCCAAGTAAAGCTATGCTGACTTTGTATTTGTAACCTGCTTTGTCTTTCAATGTTTATGTTCAGAAGATAAATGCCCTACCTAAGTATTTTCTGTATACTCTTATTTTTGGGTGTCTGTTTGAAGGGTTTTGTTTTGTTTTTCCTTTAATTGGCTGCACAGGAAGATCCATCCTGCATTGTGAGTTTAGCATTTTCTTCACTGTCTGCCGTGCATCCCATTGTCTGTGCACACACAGCATGGCCAGCGTCACATCTGCCTTCTGTATGTGCAGCTGCTCCAAGTACAGCAAGCCCCTCCACACAGAGCATGCCCATGTGTTCCACATCTGGTGCAGGGATGGAGATGAAGACGTCAGTGGTCTCAAGTGGCACTAATTAGTTTCCTTTTCCTTTTGGTTTCCTCATTACAGATACTGCAATGAACATTTGCTGTGTCCCCCACACATGTTCTGGACAGGCTGGGGTCCTTGGGAACGGTGCACAGCCCAGTGCGGGGGTGGCATTCAAGCTCGTCGCAGGACCTGTGAGAATGGGCCTGACTGTGCAGGCTGCAATGTGGTGAGTAGCCTCCTTCTCACACCCAGCCAGAGAGTTCAGACTCAATACACACAAAATGCTCTGTACACATGAGATGTTCTGCAAACAATAAAGGCTCTGTACACACAAGGTACGCATACTTTGTACACTGCAAACACTAAATGGTCTCACACACTAGGTGCTCTGTAGATGCTAGAAGCTCTGCAAACACTTTATGCTCTGCAGATACTAAATGCTTTATAAATATGACATGTCCAGACACTAGATGCTCCCCAGACAATAGATGCTCTGAACACACTAGACCCTCTCACACACTGGATCTTCTGCAAACATTAGATTCTTGGCAGACACTATATATTCTGCAAACACTAAGTACTCTGTAAACACAACATGATCAAGTACTAGATGCTCTGCACACACTAGGTGCTACAAATCATACAAGTGTTTCAATTTAGTTAGAATATCTGGAGAAAATACTGGAACTAAAGAGTAGCCTGAAGGCTTCGTGAATTAAGTATTCATGTATGGGATAAACTGTCCCAGGAGTTTTTCTGTTCTGATTTCTGAGTGACAAAGCCTTTCAACTTGCTTATCTATGGCACTCTATTTGCTTTGGGACACAGAATAGTATCCCCGTGCCAGGCCCACACCAAGGTATAGAACACTGGGGCTGAACCGGATATACCCTGGGGGCTGAGAAACTATATAAAGCCATTGTCAGAGCATTGGCACCAATGTAGAGAGAATAAAAGAGAATGCACGTTTTGTTCTGTTTTGTTTTGTTTTTCTCCTGCCTTTGCAGGTCATATTTCTTTTGACACTTTAACCTGTCACATAAAATTCCACTTGGGCATGCTTTTTATTTTTTTGAGACGGAGGAGTTTTGCTCTTGTTACCCAGGCTGGAGTGCAATGGCATGATCTCGGCTCACCGCAACCTCCGCCTCCTGTGTTTAAGCACCTGCCTCAGCCTCCTGAGTAGCTGGGACTATAGGCATGCACCACCATGCCCAGCTAATCTGTGTATTTTTAGTAGAGACGGGGTTTCACCATGTTGACCAGGATGGTCTTGATCTCTTGACCTCAAGATCCACCCGCCTCGGCCTCCCAAAGTGCTGGGATTATAGGCGTGAGCCACCGCGCCTGGCTGGGCAAGCTCTTTTCAAAAGTCTTGCTTTTGCCTTCCTGCTTCTTCTGTAAGAGTAACAGCATTTCCCCTCACTTGCCTGCCCCCGGTGCTGGCTGCACAGAGTGGACACAGACGGTAGCAAAGGTATTGATTGAGAGGCTCAGCACAAGGTCTGGCTAAATTCCTTCCTCACTGATCTTTCCAGTGGCCTTTGCAGCATCTTTATCCTTTGGTTTGTGAGGCCAAGCAATGTTTTTGTGCTGCTGTAAAGCCTGCTTTTGTGACATGCAAAACCCACACAGCCCAGATATCCTTGGGAAATTCAGGGAGAGGAGGAGGGTTATGAGGTGCTTTGTCAGATATTACACCAGAGACCTAAGGAGATTTCTGTTACTGAAAATTACAATTAGATTTCTTCCCCTTCCCACTAGAAAAAATATTATCATAGCTTTCACATAATCTATTACTGACTGTAAAGACACTTCTTTCCAGATCAGCCTGAACTAACTGTAGACTATGATAAAATCTTCATTAAGATGTATATTTATTGATATTTCAGATGCTGACATTTAAAACTATTTGTTTTAAATTATTTTAAAATGGCAAATTTATGAATACTCATGTGTTCTAGGAAAACTATTTAAATGGGGTAACTTTATGTTAGGCTGAGGACTATCATGTTTTGTTCCTGGTGGCATGCTGTGTGCCCACTGGGGCCTGCATTGCCATGTCAAGGTTGGTCTCACTTGCTGGGAAACTGCAGGAATGGAGGATCTGGATTGATCTCTCACCTTAGTTTCTGAATACATTGCAGTGTGAAGAATTCAGAAAACAGTCCACATCATTAATTTTCTCATTGTGAATTGATTTATAATTACCTTCAAATATAGCTTGATGAAAGAAAAAATATATTAAGTAAGAATGTAGCTTTTCTATGTAGTTACTATAATATGTGTGTATGTGTGACATACATCTGATTATAAATGTAAAAAGTGAAGGTCTTTCTAAAATGTCTGTGTATTTATTGGTTTATTTATTACAGAATTACGGTTTGTGAAACAAATGTAACCTCTGCTTTCCAATCTAGAAAAATACACATGTCTCCAAAGAAACTATTGTCACTTTTTAGGAAATTTAGGGGTTTGTTTTTCTTTTTTTCTTTTTGTTTTTACCGCCAAACTTAGCCTTCTGGTAGTTTACTTCTAGGAAACTGTTATTGTAGCACAAAGGAGCACTCTACCTCTTAGTGGCAGAAGTGTCTTTATTTTCTTCTGACCTGGTTTCTCGCGTGCATTTCAGTTTCTATCTGTTCGAAGGCAGGAAATGCCAGCTCACACTAATCAAGGAGTGCAAGCAGCAGAAAGGAAGGGCTCCGCTTCTTTGGATTGTGTGGAAGATATATACTATCAATCAATTGAATTCCTAACAAGTTGATTTAAAAATGACAGTTACTTAGCTAAAACAAAACATTTTTGGTCTTCATATTCTAGCTACAGTTTATAAATCCTTCACCACAAAGGGTTTGTTTTTTATTGAGTTCTTTTTATCAACATAGCAACTCTAAGTATAAAAATTATACTGATTTTGGAGTCATGAAGTAACCATCTGCTTGCCAGTGTCTAGCTGGATAACAAGAGGTGATATTTCTGAATCTTGGTCTCCTCCTTGGAGAAGGGCATGATGGTTCTTCCCACTCAGAGCTTCTGTATCTAGGACGGCAACATCTGTAAGATCTGGCAGAAGGTCTTGTGTTTGAGTTCTCCTTTCTAGTCTTATTTCTTCATTCATTATCCATGGGCTTCAGCTGCTTTTCCAAGCTCCAGCTTATTAAAAATGAGTCAGATAATGAGATGTCATTTACAAATTCAGAACATGTTTGTGGAAAGTATAACAACCCGAATTTCCTGATTATTATAACAGCTTATAGAAAAAGACAGAATTGATTATTTCAAGTTCAAGTATGCATGGGTTAGAAAAGACTCGAGAATCTTTGCTTTCGCCAACACTTTAAAGCTGAAATTTCATGAAAGGATTTTCCCAGCTTCACTTGAAGAATTTCTATGTCCTCATCTAAGACTAAGTCAGCAAGTCTTTATTTGAATCTCAATAAAGAGGAAGTGAAGGGCCCTTGCAAGAGCTATTAATTCTCTCCATGAATCCCTACTTGTAAATTTCCCCATGTCAAAGGCTTGGGAAACCCGGAGCCTTGCGTTAGTTTGGGAGCTGATTGACAGATACAGAGGGAGGACCTGGATCTTATGCTGCCACTTAACTCTGTGAACTTGAGATGCATTCATTGCCCTCTGGGCTTCTGTCTTGTTCTGCAAAGTGCAGGGCCAGACAACAAAACTGATGATTCTGTGACCCTGGCATTCCTTCTCTGGACCCTAGGGTACATGTGTTCAGCTGATTGAGGGATGACTTCTAAGAAATGTCCCTTCCTGGTGGCTCATACCTCTGAAGAGCTCAGAATAAGACACTTAAAAAACAGACATTTACTCCCCACTTCCCAGTAGGCTAAAACCACAGGAGGATCTGGGGTCCTCTGGTCCTTGCTGCTGCTCTCCAGGTCTGCAGTTCAGCCCCACATGCCTGTGGCTTCACAGAGCAGGTGGAAGAAGCAGGATGGTGGGTCAGAGGGACTCTGCCTCTGAGTCACTGTGAGACTTGACCTGCTGTTCTATTTCTCCACATGATTGTTTTCAAATGAAATGTGGAGCATGGACACTTGAATGACAGAGCTGTTCGGAAGATTACACATAGTACATAATATTTCTATATATCCTAGCCCATGCCAAGTCGAACCTGGACATTCATAAAATAGAAATGATTATCACCATCCTGTGTATTTTTCCTTTTTACCCAGTTTTGACAATAGTAACTGTAACAATTCTTGTTGGATGAAGCCTTGCAAATCCCAACTTACTAGATGATGCCAAATTAAATATTGAAATTAAGTTATAACTACACATACTGGAGTTAATATTTAATGATAGCCTGAAATTCTGTGTTCTATCATAAAATAACTTTTGTTGAGTGCCTGCTACATGCCATGCACTGCACTAAGAGTGATTAAAATTTATCATGTTTATTCTCTCTATATCCCTGCAAGGCAGTTTTTATTATTATCTCTGCTTGGAGATGGAAAAAGTCAACCTGAGAAAGATTAATGAACTTGCCCAGTAGCAAGTTGCCAGTGGAGGACTGGACCAGCATTGGAGAACTGGTCCTCTGGGCACAAATAGAATTTAATGAGACAACTCCATTTGCATAATTATTTGCCCAATGTTAAGTGATAAATGATAAGCCTTACTTTTCTTTACTCCTGTTTAGATCAAAGTGTAGCTTAAAAGAAAGAGGAGCTTTTTGTCTTTCTATACCTCTTCTCTTAATTAACACTCTTAATTTTTATAATATTGTGATCATTTTGGCCAACCATAGAGTACCATTAGGAGATCATCATGAGCATAGGAATTAATTGAAGATAAATTTGTAACACAAATGTTAACTCTACATTTTGGCTGAAAATGACAATACATGAAAGGAAGAAAGATATAAAATGTTATGTGTTATAAACAGAATTACTTCTTATATTAATGCAACTCAAAATTTCCTCAAAGGTTTAGCAGATTTAAATTATTATTATTATTTTTTTTTAGCTGTATCAGACCTGAAGACAGCATCAGATAGTGCAAAAATAATTTACAAAAAACAACAGGCTTAATATTGCCAGCACTATATTTCTTACTGAAATATCACACAAAGCATTAAACAATTGACCAAAAGCTATGATTTAAGAGAGCAACAGGGAGTGTAGGATAGATATTTATTTCCTAGATACAAAAGAACCAGACCACAGAACGCCTGGAAAGGTCAAGAAGAAAGACATTACC